CAGTTTTTCTGTAAAGTTGATAGTATTTGAGAAAAAAATTATTGAAGACCAATATTCGGCCATTTTTAGTAATTAATACCTTGTTAACTATTGCGAAAATTGCAAAATGGTAGAGGACTTTCCGACTCCGTCCGCTCTACTTGCCCACGAGCGTTGTTAGGTGAATTACGGGACACCCTGTATGTAAGTATATATACAGGGTGTCCCGAATTTAATGTCTAAACTTCGGGAGCGTGTAGAGGATCGATAAACTAAGAAAAAAGTCCTGTAGAGATATGCTCGTTTTACTTCGTTTTGGAAAAAATCGCAAAAAAAAAGAAAATGTATATTTATATATACAGGGTGTTTCCAAATTAAATGGCAAAACTTCGGGAGCGTGTAGAGGAGTAAAAAACTAAGAAAAAAAGTCCTATAGACATATGCTCCTTTTTGCTTTGTTTCGCAGGAAATCACGAAAAAAGAAAAAAATATATTTAATTTATTATTTTAATTATTTTATTTATAAACTTTTTAATGAAGATTTTGTTCGAAATGTGCACCTCTTGCAGCAATACAAGCATTGCATCTGTCAAACACGGCTCTTGTAGCAGCCAGGCACTGTTCTTGCGATATTCTGTTCGCTGCAGCTACGATACGATTTCTCAAATGTTGCTCTGATTGAATAGGCGAAGAATAAACTTCTTGCTTCAGAGTACCCCATGCATAGAAATCTAATGGCGTTAAGTCGGGCGAACGAGTTGCCCAATGTACTGCTCCTCCACGTCCAATCCATCGTTGTGGGAATTTTCTATCTAACCAGGTTCTAGCGACTCTGCTGTAATGAGCAGGGCATCCATCTAATTGAAACCACATTTCAGTACGTTGTTGTAATGGGATGTTTTCTAAATAGTCAGAAAATTCATTCTCCAAGAAATTTAGAAAACGGTCCCCATTTAATCTTGCAGGTAAAAAAAACGGTCCCACTAAAACGTCGTTCCAAATTCCAAGCCAGACATTAACAGAAAACTCTTGCTGAAATTTGTATTCTCTAACAGACCTGGGATTTTGATGAGCCCATAATTCCTTTGATTAATTATTCCACCTCTGGTAAATGTTGCCTCATCTGACCACATTATTTTAGATGGAAATAAAATATCATTGTGGCATGTCTGAAGGTACCAGTTACAAAAGTTCAATCTGTTCCAATGATCTTGAGGTAATAAATTTTGCACTTTTTGAATGTGGTAGGGATAGCGATTATCTCCTTTTACAGTTCGCCAAATTGTTTGTGGTGACACTCCCAATACAGCCGACGCATTCCGAACGCTGGTCTCAGGATGATTGTCAAAATGTTGTAAAATACGATTCCCTGCCTGCAAATCTCTTCGTAACGCTGCTTGAAATCGGTTGTTTTCTTGTCGAATTGAAAATGTTCCAGTCTCTCGCAATCTATTAAATGTCAACATAAACACTCTTCGGTTTGGCACTCTTCTGTTTGGAAATCGTCGTGCATATTCTCGCACCGCCTTTAAAGCATTACCGTTGCAGAAACCGTATACAAAAACCATATCAGCATATTCACTATTAGAATACGTACGCGGCATATTGCAAAAGACAAAATTCATCTACTGTTAAAGGCTTTCAAAGAGCGACTGACAAATTCATAACAGAAAGTGGAAAATGTAATCAAATATGTCGGTGCTAGATATGGCAAGAAATGTAAACATTTTTTTTCGATTTCTCTGAAACGGAGCAAAAACGAGCATATGTCTATAGGACTTTTTTTCTTAGTTTTTTACTCCTCTACACGCTCCCGAAGTTTTGCCATTTAATTTGGAAACACCCTGTATATATATACACAGAGTGTTTCAGAATTCGCGGACACGGATTGCACAGTGTGATTGTATGTGCCAAGAGAAGCAACTTTCTCCTCTGGTAAAATTACGTTCAAATAGTACTTTTTAAATGATTAAGTTAATTTTAAGTAAATTTTTTAAATTAACAAATGAGCGCTCCACGTTACGCATGGATCAAGAGTGGCGCATACACACGGCATGGCTCGGCGTATGAGCATGTACATTAGTTTATTATTTTGCTACAGGATTTATAAAAACTGTGTATGATATCTAAATATCACTATTTTGAATACAATTTATTTAAGAAGAGAATATTTTCTAATTGATATCGTTGAAGAAATGATTGAAAGTAAAATAAGTAGATCAGACAATTCGTGAATAATTATGATATTTAGATGTCATGCATAATTTTTATGAAATCTTCAGCAAAATAGTAAAATAATGACGTACATGCTCATACGCCGAGCCGCGCTGTGTGTGCGCGCCGCCTCTGATTCAAGCGTAACGTAAAGTGCTCATTCGTTAACTTAAAATTGCTCTCATTTAAAAAGTTTATTTTACTGTTTGAACATAATTTTGCCAGAGGAAAAAGTTGCTTCTCTTGGCACATATTATGCTGTACAACCCGTGTCCGCGAATTCAGAAACATATACAGTACTGGACAAAATAAGATACGCACTCCAAACATTTTCACATTTATGTAAATAACTCGCTAGTCCTGGTAGATTACATAATGATGAATGAGGTAAAAGAAAGGTATTTTAGTCTACTTTGCAATGATTACAAAAATTTCAAAAACAATTCGAAATTCTTTAATAGTCAAGTCCGTTACATTTATTATCAAAATTATCATGGACAAAATAAAGTACGCAAGTGAAAAAAAAAGTGTAATAAAGACAAAGTTTATAATTAATATTTTGTATGACCACCTTTTGCTTGTATGACGGCTTGCAAACGTCGAGGCATACTTTCGAAAAGGTTTTGGATATGTTGCTGATCGATATTTTTCCATGCTTTCATCAATGCTTCCAACAACTTAATTTTATTCGTTACTTCCCCTTTATCAAGCTT